TGGGACTTCAAGTACTAGTACCAATCCAGATCGAGACGCATTAGATGCGTTGTCGGTGTAGAGGACCCAGAGGCTGGGTTGTCCAGGGGAGGTGCGAACCGCTTCTTGCTCGACCTTGGGCAGTATTTCTGCGCTGAGATCGGCGACAAAATCAGCTAGTACTTGCAACTTTATCGTAGTTCTCGGTTGATATGTTATATCGTTCTTGCTCAATTCTATGGCCCATTTGGCCAATCTACCCAACAATTCAAGTTTGTGCAGGATGCTCCTGAGGGTAAAAGTCGTTACCACCTTTATGGAGTGATATTGGAAATATGGTCTAAGCTTCCGTGAAGCTATGACCAACGCCAGAGCCAATTTTTCGAGGCGGTGATACCTTCTTTCGGCATCAATTTAGGTTTTGCTGATATAGTAAATCGGAGATTGCGTACCTTTGTTTTCGCGGACCAAAACTACGCTTACCGCGACTTCAGAGATGGCTAGGTAGACAAGGAGGCATTCACCTGGATCTGCCTTGGCGAGTAATGGCGGCGAGGACAAGTATGTTTTCAGTTTTCTTAGGGCGTCGACACATTCCAAATTCCACTCGAGACCGTTGTCTTTATTTAGCACATTAAAAAATTTATGGCATCTATCCGATGACCGTGAGATGAACCTTGAAAGGGCAGCTATCCGACCCGCCAATTTTTGTACCTGCTTTTTGCTGGTTAACATTTCGGTATTCCTTCGATGGCCTTGATCTGGTCTGGATGGACCTCGATGCCTCTTTGTGATACCAAGAAACCGAGAAATTTTCCCAAGGTTATGCCGAAGGAGCATTTTTTGGGGTTTAGTTTCATGACGTTCCGCCTCAGAATGTCGAAGGCTTCTTTCAGGTGATCGATGTGGTCCTCATCCCTTTTCAATTTAACCAGCAAGTCATCGATGTAGACTTTCTTTGTTTTGCCAAGTTGATCATTAAACATCTTGGTGACTAACCTTTGGTATGTTGCCCCCGCATTTTTCAGTCCAAACGGCATTACTCTGTAACAGTACGTTCCTTGGTAAATGATGAAAGTAGTTTTCTCTTAGTCCTCTTCCCCCATGAGGATCTGGTTGTAACCCGAGTAGGCATCCAAGAAGCTTAGCAACTCGTGTCCTGCTGTTGCGTTGATGAGTTGGTCGATGTGTGGCAATGGGAAGGAGTCCTTTGGGCATGCCTTGTTTAGGTCCGTGAAATCAACACACATCCGCCACTTCTCGATTTTCTTCTTCACCATGACCACATTGGCGACCAACTGGGGATATTTTGACTCCCGGACGGAGCCATTGGCGAGCAGCTTATCAACTTCTTCACTGACGGCCTCGTTGATTGCGGCGTTGAACTTCTTCCTCATTTGCTGCACTGGCGGATATATGGGGTCAACATTCAGTTTTGCGTGGCGATGTCTTTCGGGATGCCTAGCATATCTCAATGGGAGAAGACAAACAAATCGACACTGTCAGTTAAGAATTTATGAAACTTACATGGTTCTGAGAGATTGTGCCCTATATAAGCCTTTTTTATGTTGTCCTTGTCGTCTAGTTGGACGGGATCGAGATCTTCTATGGTTGACTCGGAGACTTCCACGATGTCGGGATCCTTGATTTTGTCTGTTTGTACGTCGAGTTTGGTTCCCAACATCGCTGATTGCTATGCTTCCGCGCTTGCTCCTTTTAGTTATTGGGTATGTGCGCAATCCTGGGCGATGCGATATCATTCTTGTGCGGTGCGTTGTTCGCCTCGGATGCTGAATACCCCCTTTTGGAGTAGGAAACTTGATTACTTGATAGAGACTTGACGGGACTGCTCGCATGGTGTCTATCCATGGGCTCCCTATGATAGCGTTGTAGGTTGTATCTTGGTCCATGACGTGAAACGTTGTTTCCAGGGTGACTCCTCCGGCTAGAACGGGTAGCACTATCTCTCTAGAAGTTCGCTCGACTACATTATTAAAACACGTTAGTGTTATGCAACGCGGTATTATCTTATTTTCAAGTCTCATCTGTACGAGGACTCGAGGATGGATAATACATGTGCCGCTTCCGTCATCCACCATTATTCTTTTACATCAGTATCTGCAATACGTAAAGTGATAACAAGAGCATCGTAGGGATGGAAAGACAAACTGTCGGTATCTGACTTATCGAAGATGATACTATCTTCGAGGTCATCATACCGTTCATGAGTGATCGAGTGTTTGAGTTTGTGTGTAGTGGTGAACTTTACATGGTTGATTGTTGTGTCATCGCCTTTGTCGATGATCATCTGTCTGGTACGAGCGAGAGAGGGCAGTTTTGGAGGTCCTTGGGGTTGTTCGCGTCCACGGTCAGAGTTAGCTCGTCCTCGGTCGCTCAGTAGTTCTTTCAGGTGTCCTTTATTTAGCATTCTCACTACCTCCTGGCGCAGACCTATGCAATCCTCGATTTTATGACCCCCTTTCCTAGTGGAATTCGCAAAGAACGTTCGACTTCTGGGTGCTCGGGTCAGACTTCATCTTTTGCGGCCATTGTACTTTTGGGCCGAGCTTCTCTAGTGCGTACACTATTTCTGAAGGAGAAACACAAAAATTGTGAGTAGATAAGAGCGAAGGCATACCTCTTTCGTTTCGGTATGGCGTGGTATGTCGAGGAGGGGCATTTGTGTGCCGCGGAGGAGGTGGGATGGATGTTCTGATGTAGGGCTATGTCTTTCTCGGTCGAGACGGGGTCCCAACTGATCCCTTCGACTGTCATTGCGACGATCTTTCCTCGCTTCAGCTTGAACTGACGTCAGTCGTTGGATCGGGCCATTGAGGTCATCCTCGTCGGCCCTTACCTCGGCGCAATAGGTGTTGTGGATTTCTTCCCAAGTGGTGGGAGGGCATTTCATGAGCCTGCTTAAGCTTTCTAGTCGCTCTCGACCCATTCCTGCTTAACCCGTTCTGGAAGGCTGCTACCGCCATCCCCTCTGACACATTCGGCAAGCTCATTCTCACCCTGTTAAACCGGGCCAGGAAGTCCCTGAGTCCCTCGTCGTGTGTCTGCCTTACGGCGAATATGTCGTTTACCCTGGCTTCCGCTTTTTTAGCTCCTGCGTGAGCGGTGACAAACTTGTCTGCCATTTCTTTGAACATTGCTATTGACCGTGCTAGTAGTTGCGAGTACCAGGTTAGGGCTCCCCCTGTTAGGGTTTCGCCGAATTTTTTCAGTAGCACTGATGGTACTTGTTCTTTCGAGAGATTGTTGCCTTTTATGGCTGTGACGTAGTGGATGATATGATCTTCTAGGTCTGTAGTACCGTCATATATCTTCAGGTATGGTGGCATTTTGAAGGTTTTTGGAATGGCGTGGGGGGCTGCTTCCTCGTTGTATGGTTGCTCGATGAACCGACCAACGTCCCGTTTTGGTAACAACTTTGGGGCGCCTGGTATTTTGTCGACTCTTTCTTGATGCTCCTCCATCTGGTTACGTAGTGCCTTATTCTCATTTCCATTTCCTCCATTTTCTTTAGGATGGCTGTGAGTGCGTCATTACCTGCGTCAACAGTAATATGAGTGTTACATGTGCAGGGGGCATCTTGTTCGTCACCGAATGTCATGACATCTATGTGTGCAATGTATTTATCCTCCCTTTTAGCGGGTTTATCAAGTATGTTGTTCAGAGTGTCTGTTAGCCACTCTTCCAGTAGTCTTTTTACCGCCTGTGGTTCCTCTCCTGTTGTAGACGTGGAGGCTTCTTTTTTGCGCGAAGCAGTTACGCTTTCGTGCGGGGGAGGTGAAGTGTCTCTCCCAGGTATAGCGTTTGGTGTCACGTTTTCGTTGTCATCCCTGCCGTCTTCATTGATGGTGTTCAGGATGTTGGCTGTGACACCTGCTATTGCTTGTAACCTTGCATCTCTTTTTCCTGCCATTGTTAGTTTATGCCAAGCTGGGAAGAGATGGCTATCCCTTTCTATGATCTAGATGAAACTAAAATCTTAATTAAAGAATTTCCCACAGACGGCGCCAAATTGTTTGACCAAAAAGTATTGAACATTTTGATTAAATCAATCAATGATGAGAAGAGGAGTAAATCTTAGTTAAGGATAATAAATCTAGATCAAATGATAGATAAAATAGACAAAATGGAAGACGTTGGTTAATATGTTTTAGTCGATTAAATGTTCATATATGCAGCAACATAAATATGCAATCAGTTTAAGTAAATGCGATAGGCGTAATCATATGAAGTTGCTACCCAATTATTGAGATCTCTAGGAAAGCTTCTTTCCTCGGTAACAGAGTAGAAAGAGAAGAGATATAAGATGATTGAGGAATCTTTGGACCCTGTCAATGTAGAACAATGAAGTATATCTCTTGCATTCAATGAATAAGGCCTTTTTAGTATATTCTCTCAGTTGAATCTGTTACAAAGTGTTCTTTTGTCTCTCTTGCCCGGATCCCCTTTTCTTTACTAACCCTTCCTATTTATAAGGGACAAACTCCCAAGAAATCCTAAGAAGTACAACATAAAGAATATTCGAAAAGCATATTCTTACTGTCTCCTACTAAGTTTAAATTACCGTTGACATCTCGTCTCGACTGACTGCTCTTGGTCGTCGTCCTTCATCACGACGACCATCAGATGTTGCGTCACGATAACCTCGTCCCTCGTCCTACTCGGTAACTGTCGTGGTTGCCAAATTTGGACCCATACAGGGATAACTTATACCTTCTTCTTAAAAATTATGCAATTATCATTTTTAATACAACATACCAAACAGTGGATAAAAAACAATCCCGGTATAACTAATCCCAGCATAACTTATCCCGGTATAAACCGTATTCAAACCAAACGACCCCTTAGCAAGTACTTATAACCTAGTAAAAATGTGTGGTAATAGACCTAATATTACAAATTAAAATTCACTGGCGACAATATAAACAACTATTTGCACTATTTATGCATACTTGTATAACTTAAATCTTAATTAAACCCTTACAAATATGTAGTATTAAAGTTTTATTATGTCGCTGTTAGGGAGGGGTGAGTCGACGACATGTCAGTTATCACACACAAACACGCACTAAATAACAGAAATCTGAAACTCCCAACGTTCAACATCTCTCCTTATTCCTTCTAACAAACTCCTCTTCAACCAAACTACCTACGCGCAGCTCCCTCTTTCCCCAACCACGCGCCTCCCTTCACCACCACCACACCCAATCTCATAATTTCCACCTCCCATTTTTTCTGTTTTCCTATGCTATTATTCAGGCCCTGTGTAGTATGGGCGGTGTGACGTCATCCATCGCCGCGAAATTTGCCTTTTTCCCACCGAACCCGCCATCGTACACGGTTGTCGCCGACGAGTCATGTGGCGGCAAGCTATGCATACCTGAGGTACCAAGGAGGGAAAACGTGGACGTTTTGAAGCTGCGCACGCGCCGTGGAAACGAAGTCGTCGCGTTATACGTGAAGCACCCAAAGGCACCCGCAACTACGATGCTTTACTCGCATGGCAATGCTGCTGATTTGGGCCAAATGTTCGAACTCTTTGTTGAATTGAGCCTCCGTCTCCGGGTCAATCTCATGGGGTAAAAGTAAAAGTCCCATTATTATCCCGCAGAATTCTTTAGTATAATTACTCAATTTTCAGCTTATTTTTTCTTCTTCTGTGTTATTCGATCCTTAACTGTGAAGTTTATCGAAACCCCCATACTTTATCGCCTAATTATCGTTCATCGTTGCGCATTTTCACCTCATTGATTACTTAACCATGCTAAAGTACGTTGTTTTGGTGTAAACACCGGTTGTAGTTCTTACTGCGAGGTAAAAGTTCTTTACTCTTTTCCTTTTCGAGTGAGACCTTGGGGAACAAGTAGAGTTTTTCCTTGTGTTTATGGGTTTGCAGAGGCGGATAGATGATTTAAACTTGATGGGTTTAACCTTAATGTAATGTAGTTCACTGTATTTTGTAAATAATGGGTTCAAAGTTTAATATTTGTTGAAAGTTTAGTAATTTTTCACTTGTTCAGTTTCGGAAACTACAAGGTTCGGCCTGTTGCCAATACACTGCATCCACCACTGTGGGTTTCGAGGTGCGAAAACAGTTTGCAGAAATTAAAGGGGAAGGCATCTCCTTACCTTCCACAAGTTGTAGGAGCACTTCTAGTCAACACTTTTTGGTTGGAAGATAGGAAAAGAATGAGTTTCCTTTTCTCTTTTCAGTTTAGTTGATTTTTCCCCAACCTAGATACAGCTTGTACGATAAATGATAATTTTAGTGAATATGAATTGGAGAAGTTGGATGTATGACCCTCTTCAGCAAGTAAATGTATTTGATCAAGAGCTAATAGAGACTTATGTACTGAAGTCATTTATCAGTGTTATATGTTAGTTCTCCTATAGAAGGACGCACAGTAGGATTCAGGAGAAAGTTGGTATTCAATCAAGAAAGAATCCCTTTGGATAATTAGAGTAAGCTTCCCCCTCTTTTTCTCTAATGTGAGGCGATATTCACATTAACTTATAATTTTCAGTCCGTGGTTAGTTTCTAACATTGATGGTATACATGTTAGTTTCATTACGAAGTAGATGACTGCCTTTAATGGTGAAGTGGATTTAGTAAGCGAATATGTTGATTCTTGCCCTGGAAAGAGATCACATGTTTTGATTCAAGCTACCAGATTGTTGTGTTTCTACTCTAACTCAATGAGATCTTTGAAGACTCATGGATTTTATATCTTTCGACCTATTTACGGTTGCATTTGGATGCATTTATATCTTGTGGCATAGTCATACATTGGTGTCAATTTATGAAAGCAGAATGTTGCTGAACAGTGTTCTGCTTTTGTATCCCAACCTATGTGTGATAATTTTGTTTCTAAGAGTCTAAGATTACCTTAATGTAATTCTTTTATTAGTTTCGGATATGTTAAAATTGAAATCCTATGACATGGTATGTAACTTTTGAATCCTAACTTTTATTTTCTTAAAATATGAGCCAATCAGTGTCCTATTTCAGTTTGAAAGATTTTACTTTTAACCTTTGCAAGTGAGCTGCCTTACTTAAAATGAAACGGAAGTAGTGCACCTACTTTCTCGGAAGCTACTTATGATTGGAAACATTTAGTCCACATGAACTATGTTTCTGCCTTTTCAAGCAAGACATAATCTAGATATTTCTAGGGGACTCCACAAGCACTTATGTGGACCACATGGAGGAATAGGTGTAGAAGAGCTTTCGAAGGAATGGGAAGGAGATTTGTATAGCAGCAAATGATAGTGCTATTTTTTTTTTCTTTAGTTTGATGCACACACAATATCATACGAACACTCAAACTATGTATTTCAAATGATTTTTTGCTTTAACACCCCCCCCCCCCTCCCCCCTGTCTCCTCACTTTTTGGTTTTTAAATTTGTTATATTCAACAGTAGGATTGCTATTTTTCTTGGTTTCCTTTACTTCACTGACTTGCTCATCTGTGCTTCTTTAGGTATGATTACTCTGGATATGGACAGTCCAGTGGAAAGGTTAGAAATCTACTTCCTTTCTCAAATGAAGTAGGCAATTTCTTTCTCATTCTTCTTGAATAATTCAGGCAAGAGAAGAAAAAACAGTTAACTGCCTTCACATGTTTCAAGTTTGTTGCTTGCTTGTTAAAGTAGGAAGAGCTTTATGTATTTACAGTATCTTTATTCCCCGAACTAGCTCTAGGACCAAAAAGATACTTGTTCAAGGTGTAGGGTGTTACAACTTTGATTTTTACCCTTCTGAACTTGTCTAAAGTTTCTAACAAAATCATATGTATTTAGTTCTTCCCAGTCATTTTCAGATTGATGCGTTTCTTTTTAGTCTTTGGGTCTGCATGGAAAGCCATTTAGTTTATCTCTTAGAAGACGTTAATCTTCTTTCACCTCTCTTCCAGGCCTCATATTACTTGTCCTTCTTTACCAATATTACTACATAATGCTAGACATCAGCTCTTAAGGAACTCATGACGAGAGAATCTTGCATCATAAACATATAAAATCTCTTCTCTGATTGCAAAAAATAATGTGTCATGCGCAGTTTGACGAGAGATTTATGGTTGCCTTATCGAAGCAAATCAGTCTCCAACAGAATGCAAATTATGGAGAAGAAATTTTTCGCAAACTTGGAGGTCATTTAGCTGCCTAGTATTATAAAAGGAATCGCACTGATGACCACAGAAACACTATTTATATGATGATTCAATGGCGATTTCCCTTCTTTATTTGGGTTTTGGTTTTTTTTTTTTTTTTAGGGGGGGGGGGGGGGGGGGTTAGGGTAGATTTGTGTCTTTAGTTTATCAACAAAGGCAGCCTTCTGTACAAGCTTCAGCCACCTTAAAGATCCAAGTCCCTGGAAGTTAGTATCAGACAAAAGGCAATAGTGTGAAGAACAGATTTGGCAATGTTTTATACACGCGTTGTGGTGTCTACTTGGTTGAGGAACCAGTTATTAAACGACACTCTTGGCTTGTGTCGTAATAGATTGGACTATGCATTAAATAAAGATTGTACTTGAAAACAAATCCAATTAACTGTAGAAATAATAATCTGAGAAAATTTAAGTGCAAGCTGTAATTGGTCAATGAATATAGCTTGATCATGTAGAGGCTCCTAATTTGACTCGTCCTAGTTAATCTCATGATCATATAGGTTATACTACAAATAATAATAACAGCACAAACATGACAATTAAAAAGATTTCACATGAAACTTTAATAGTGTAAAATTTCTTTACAATATCAGATTGCATAACTTAAATTCATATCACATGTTGTTTAACCTCCTTTAAGGAAAAAAATGCCGGATTTTTGTATGTAGCTCTATCTTTTTTTAGTCCTTTTTTTCTTGTTTTTTTCTTAGATTTATGCCTACTAGTTTTCTTTAAACATTTTCCAAGTTAGGAATAACTTCTGCTCATAAATTTAAGTTAGGAAGTCATTTTCCTCCTTTTCTCTGAAAAATATTTTATAGTAGTAACTAAACGTCATAAATGACGTATTTTTCGAGGATACCTAACAGATCTAAGGTGAGTAAGGAAGAAACATTAGGATTTGTACATCAACTACATAAACACAAGTTGACTTCTCCGTGAAGATCGAGAAAACTTGATTCTTGATTTTTACAACAAATCTTAATGGATGTCGCTTGTGTGTCCCTAAGACATATCATGGGGTTCTATACATGAATAACTTCTCTTTCTCTTTTTCCCTCATTTCTTTGCTTCCCTATTGCTCTAGCTTTTAGATGCTGAAACTAGTAATGTTGTTTAGGCATCTAGAAGTGTAATTTGAATGTTGTTTCGGGCACTTTCTTTTGTTTCTTTTTGTCCTTCTCTGCCTTAATATCATAAATAACTTTGTTTGGAGTTTTAACTAGATATCTAGGAACTTCTTGAAAAGAAAAAAAAATTGATATCTAAGGAAGTGTCAGTGGAAAGCCTTTTATTTCTGGGAATGCCAGTCTTGGGACATTGTTTGGGTTATCATATGGGATTATTCTGCTAATTGCTGTCAACTATTACACTTAATATGATAAATTTATCCTTTCTTTGAATCAGCCATCCGAGTGTAATACGTACGCAGACATTGATGCAGTATATAAATGCCTAAAGGAGCAGTACGGTGTCAAAGATGAACAGCTAATACTGTATGGTCAATCTGTTGGCAGCGGCCCGACTGTTGATCTTGCATCACGGGCACCCAATTTAAGAGCTGTTGTTTTACATGGTCCAATATTGTCTGGTCTAAGAGTGTTGTACCCTGTCAAACGCACATATTGGTTTGACATTTATAAGGTAAACTTAAACCCTTGACTGCTTATAGTTTGTCTTGTGGTTTTTCCTCTTTCCACTTGTACAGGCTGACGTTTTTGCTCCAATTTCTTTCAGAATGTCGACAAAATTAGTATGGTGAATTGTCCTGTTCTAGTCATTCATGTGAGTTCTCTTCTTTTAACTGTTTAATCCTTGCATTCCGTAATTTTCCTTCCCTTCCTCCTTTTCTCTGAGCCCTCATTAGTCTCGTACAAGCTTCAGTGTACTTATGAAGACCTAGCGGATCGGTGGAGGAGGTTGGGGGGAAGGGAACCCTTACTAGTTTGTCCGGTTATTGTAGTTCCCTCTCCACAAACTTGCTTTTTGATGGATCATGGGTTTCCTTTTCATCTGACTATATTTTCTTTGCCACGGGAAGTTTTCACTACTAAAAAAAGGTCATTTCCGACTGAAAGCAGCGGTCGGTTTTAAAGGATTACCGACCAAAAATCGACCGACGCAATCGGTGTACTGAATTTTATTTATGCCGGTATTTCTGACACTCGAACAAAAAGAATTAAAATACCGATTGATTCATTTTCTTAATATGCAATTATAAAATGCGCCAGTTGGGAATGGAACCGAGGTCTCCACTGTGGCAAACTACTATTCTACTACTAGACCACTAGTGCTTGTTGGCCTAATGCTTACGTTTTTCTATTTATACTCTTCAATTGCATTTATTTTGCAAAAATAACCAACCCACTCGGTCGCTTGTCTTAAAAAATAAAATTATTGACCGCGTCGGCCAGTATTTCATTAGATTGTTTTAAATGAGTTGACCAAAAACCGATTTGATTCGATCAGTTTTCTGAATATGATTTTTCATTTTTAATTTTTAAATAGGAAATCGACTGACGGGTTCTTGAAAAATATTTTTTACGGGACGCAGTACTGTCCAACTCGGTTGGAAAAACAATTTCAGCATTTTGGCGCTAAAAAAAACAGTCGACTCGGTCGGTTTTGTCAAAAAATTGAAAAAGTATATTTGCATTTTTTGGTCGGTTTTTCGATCGGTAATCTTCAGCCAGAAAAAGCTGTTTTTAGTAGTGTTTGAGGAACTTATATGCTAGTTACACGCTTATTTTTTGCATTGATCCTTGAAAATCTTTCTATTAAGAGCCTATTTTTATTAACTGATTGACGGTAGTTGACAAGCATCAAGTGCTGAAAAGCACTTTTAAGGATTAAAGCTGATTTTATAAATGAACAGTTAGGTGTTTGGATATGTCTTGCAGTTGATAATAAGCTTATACACTTACCTAAACACCAAGTATGAAAGCTATGGAGATAGTTCAATCTGAATCTGGTTAAGAAGATCATAGGGGAAGAGAATGTTATCGGAATTCAGCCAGCTCCAAAGATGTCAATATAATGCAGCACAACCGACCATTTTTAGACAATCCAAGTCTATAAAAAGAAAGGATTGGCTTTTCTTTAGCTGCAACTAGTGGAACAAATTTCTTATCTAACAAACCTTTGGACTAATGAAACACTTTTGCACAATGTTGCAATCATAAACTTGATGTATGTATCAAGGATAGAAACTAAATCTAGGGCTTGTTCATGTGGCCGCACTTACCAATACAGTGATTCTACAACAGTGCAAGAATCATCTGAATCTAACATAATTTTGAGTAATCTCTAATTCTTCCTATCGATTGAATGTTTTAACATTTCCATGTGTTAGGGAACGGAGGATGAAGTTGTTGACTGTTCCCATGGAAAACAACTCTATGAGCTATGCAAGGAGAAGTATGAACCGTTGTGGATTGCTGGAGGTGGGCATTGCAATCTTGAGCTTTACCCAGTGTACATCAAACATCTAAAAAAGTTTGTTCTTGGTCTTGGCAAATCAAAACCGGCCACTGATGGTTCTCATAAAACATCTGTAGAGTCTGATAACAAGAGCAAACCTCCTGAAATTACTGCCACGAACACATCTGACCTTCCAGAAATTTCCAGAAACAGTTTGGATAGCCGACTTGATAAGACAAAGAAGTCAAACAAACCTGAGAAGTCTCGGATGAGCACAGATCGTATAAACAGGTTTAAGAGAAGAAAGGGATTAGTGTGGTGATAACTTTTGCATAGAGGGTATTTATATTTTATTTTGTAAAATATTGAACCGAGATGAGCTTAAATGGAGCGACATTGACATAAGAATTCATATAGCTGATCCCAACGTGCTTGAGATTGAGGCACAATCGTTTTAATGGATGAGCTCCAACTCCAAATACAATGTTGAGTTTGATTATAGTTGTAAATAATTGCATCTGTCTCGTTCTAGAGGTGAAGTTGTAAAAGAAAAATGTATTCTACTTCCTTTTCCCCCCTGTATCATCAAATTTTCAACTGTCATTCTACTATGAAAACCTTATAATTTTCTGCTGTGATGAGTTCCCAAAAATGTATTACTTAGAGATCACACTGAATGTGCAACTGCGTAGTAGAAGCTTTTGAGTCATTGTCAGCATACCAAGTCTGACTGTGGACTTAAAAGGGCCTGGAAATACTATTCTACATACATCAGTTCGATATCAAAAAAATTTTTAAAGAGCAGTGACAAATATAGATCGTTGTCAGCCCTCAGCTGTTGCTGAGGGGTCGAGGCAGAGCCAAGCTATGAGCTCGGCCGGACCCAGTAATTTTTGCTTGTTAAGAAATTTATTAAATATGTAAAAATTTAGAATACAGTCATTAACACTTAAAGTCGTTCTAAAATCCTAAATCTTTAAGGTTCAAATCTTGACTCTGTCTCTGCTCAGCTGTTGAGAGTGTTTTCATAATAAAAGTCTAATAATTTTACATGAAAAAAAGACTAGAAAATAATATTCTAAAATAAACAAGTCTAATTGAATAAATCGTACTTATCATGAAAAAAATACAATGTAGAATTTGTCTACCACGACGACCCACACAATTTGTTGTTCAAGAAACAATAAACAAACTAATCAAGCTGCACAGTTGGGATTCACGAAGGTCAACAGAAAACATATACTCCCAAAGAAGAGATATCCTTAGGGCTCGTTTGGTACAAGGAATAAGGAATAATTAATTCTGGGACTAAATTTAAGAAAAGTTTATCCCATATTTGGTTGGTAGAAAAGTGTAGCATAATTAATCCCGGGATTGTAGTGTTTTTCTATTCTCATGAGAGGGTGGAATAACTAATCCCGGAACAGCTAATCTCACGATAATTAGTCCTTGGATAACTTCTTTCCAACCAAACGACCCCTTAAAGAACTGGGTATCTCGAGTTGCTTCCAATGGTACATTCTGTAGTGTCATGTGTACAATGTATCGCATAATTTTATTTGTGGCGTTCTTCGTATATTTGAATACATTTTTGGTATGCACTTGTGTCCCTCTTAGTTATAGCATTTCAAAAATAGTACTTGGCAAAATTAATGAGTAATTAGTTATTTACCGAGTTCAAGTTAATTTCAAATTTTTATCGTATTAATACAGTTTTAATATTTTTTTCTCGATTTGGTTATCTTCTAATTATATCTGCACTTATTTAAGTTAGAACATCAAAAGTTTTCCAATTAAACTCAAAATTTCAGATTTGGGTAATGTTAATGCATTTGGAAAGTTTGATTTCTGTTATTTTAATCTATCTATCTATCTATATCTATATCTATCTATACTATATTATTATAAAAGCACGAATGTTTCACACTAAATGTTGAACGACCAAAATATCCCTAAAATATTAGTAGACTTTTATGCCCTTTAGAAGATAAATTATTTGTTCAATAAAATAGTTACATGTTAGGACAAAATTGTAATATTCAAAATCTATTCCTAATATGTATTTGAACGGAAATCTAAACCTATCAAGTGTCCTAGCTATGGTTGAAGTTTGAAAGTCATACTAATCCTATGCAGACAAGAACACTGTAAACCGATGACTATCACCTTTTTATTTTGAACAAGCCATATCTATAGTGGAAATACCAGTGTTTCTATAGATAATTTAAATTCTCATAAAAGCTCTAAACAAGGAAAGGAAGGAGTTGGCTACGTGATAAAAGCTTTAATAAGGGACGGAAGGTAGTCATCCAGCGTAGCCAATTACAATTGAACCAGTAAGTACAAAACAAAAGAATATCCAAGAAGGTGCTTAATAGGTTGAATTGAAAGAGAGGAAAATCCACGGTAAATTCATGGACTAAGTGTAAAGAGTGACAGAAGATGAACATCAAAAGTCATCATACAAGCGTACAGGCGAATACACATGCATTGGAGTGGTTTGGGTGGCAAAAGGCGATTCTGGTGCAACAACTCCTAAAGATTGAGGTTACCTTTATGCATTTTTCTCAACGAAAGACATTCATACTGCTTTTAGTATTTGACAAGAGAAAAGTTGTTATAGAAGATGTCGTTCAATATAATGTAATTTACTTGTACAGTTCTCATTATATCTGCTCCTAAATATTTTATTAGTTTTGATTTTGTCGATGACAACAGTAATTACAATCAAGAAGCACACCCAAATATACTAACAATAAACGAACTTCTCCATACGTGTTAGTTGTCAACTTTATTACGCCATATAAATTTTGCAATCTATAATTGACGAAGGATACACGTGCAAGGCACGTACATAGAGACTAGTACTATATTAAAAATACGAAGGCCTTTAGAAAAATGTCGTTCGCCTTTTTTACCCTTTAAAAATAAATTTTACATAGGACAAAAAAGTAACTTAAGTTATTTTCCTAATATTATGGACTTTGAAGTTAGGTAAAATTTTGGTAATCAAAATCCTTCCTTTTTTAAATTATGTAAAACCCCTAAGATTCAGGAATTTAAACTCAAAGAAAATTTTACTTACATAGACTACTAATAAGAAAATAAAGAAAAAAAGTATGACACGTTGGAGCAAGTATACAAATGCAACCATTGTTACAATAACGACTTTAATGCTTATTAGTGTTAAATTTATCTGTATTGGTGTAAGTAAATAAAACAGTAATCTTTCTGAAAAAATAAAATAAAAAGTTAGTAGAAACAATTCTAAAAAATAATATTCGAACTTCAAAATAATTTTTGAAACGTTGAAGGAACAAATCGAGCCCAATGAATACACAGTGTGTCCTTAAGGAAATTATTCCCCTCAAGTACACGAGGTCATGGAATATATCCTCCCAGGATAGAGCGATTTAACTCACCAGAGTGTTGGTACCAAAAACGCCGATGATCAGCGAACCACTCGATGGCAGCAAAACACACTGGAATTTTAGTGCAGAAGAAGAAGAAGAAGATAATCAGAAAATTTCGTAAGTAAATATTCTGGGATTTGAAGGTCTATTTATAGCCAACTTGGTGATATTTCTGAAGAGGTTTGCAACCTTTCAGAATAGTCATGACTGTTGGAACAGGTGTGACCCTCTGAAGAGGTTTGCAACCTTTCAGAATAGTCATGGCTGTTGGAACAGGTGTAACCCTCTGAAGAGGTTTGCAACCTTTCAGAATAGTCATGGCTGTTGGAAATTTTTTGCGGGAAATTTAAAACGAATTTAAATTAATCCAGGAAAGAAAAACGGGCTAGATCGGACCGGGTCGCGGGTCATCCCTCCATTTCTTTCCCCGCCGTTTTCCATTCACACCTCTTTTGTTATTATTTATTAAATAACGAACCCAACAATCCCCCACATGAATGGGGAATGGCTATAAACTTAAAGGAATGCACGGACGTGTATGTGTTTTACAAACAAGAATTGATTGCATCTGGATAAGTAGGTTTCCCTTTGAACTTTCCGTAGTGAACTTATATCGGATATACTCGGTCAATCGGTAGATTCGATATTTTTGAACCGTCGAGCTTTGTTGTATACCTAGACAACATAAGTCACATAATCAATCCTTAACCATCTATGGTTCTCACGGTTGTGTTCGTTTCAACCATGAACACTGCCTGGTTTCATGAGTGCTTAGAGAATGGGCCTTTACTTTCATTCTCCTTGAAGCGGCTTACACTTCACACTCACATAGGTGATTCCTAAACGTGTAATCCTAAAGACACACTATCTGGTCATATCCTGCCAGACTTAGCAAATCATTAAAAAGCTTTAAGGTTTATTGATTCATCAAAAAAGCCTTAATGCTTTACCTCATTTTTGAACATTGTCTTCATCACGAGAATGGGTTGAATTAGTTGACAATGTTGAACCGTCATTTATAACTTTGTTTGATCTCTTTGAACCTAGCTCTTGGGATCTCCAGTCTGCTAGGTAGAGTTACCGCCATGATGACTTGTCCTAGGCCTTTAACCCCATTCTCTTAGATGATCTTTCAACTGCCTCTCTAGATAGGCCTTTTATAAGTGGATCCGACACGTTATCTCTTGACTTTACGTAGTCAATTGTGATAACACCACTAAAGAGTAGTTGTCTAACGGTATTGTGTCTCCGTCTGATATGACGAGATTTTCCGTTATACATAACGCTCCCTGCCCTACCTATTGCCGCTTGACTATCACAATGTATACATATAGGTGCCAAAGGTTTGGGCCAAAATGGAATACCTTCCAAGAAATTCCGGAGCTATTCATCTTCCTCGCCGGCCTTATCTAAAGCTATGAATTCAGATTCCATTGTAAAACGGGCGATGCATGTTTGTTTGGATGATTTCCAAGATACTGCTCCACCCCCAATTGTGAAAACATATCCACTCGTGGATTTAACTTCAGATGATCCGGTGATCCAAATTGCATCACTATATCCCTCGATCACGGAAGGATATTTGTTATAATGCAAAGCATAATTTTGGGTATGTTTCAGATATCCCAAAACTCGTTTTATTGCCATCCAATGTATTTGATTGGGATTACTTGTAAACCGACTCAGTTTGCTAATAGCACATGCTATATCTGGTCGTGTACAATTCATGATATACATCAAACTTCCCAATACTCTTGCATAGTCCAGTTGTGAGTCACTTTCACCTTCATTCTTTTGAAGTGCATAACTCACGTCAATTGGAGTCTTGGCAATTTTGAAATCCAAATACTTGAACTTGTCAAGTACCTTTTCAATGTAGTGAGACCGTGATAATGCTAGACCTTGTGGAGTCTTGCGAATTTTGATTCCTAAGATCACATCAGCAACTCCTAAGTCTTTCATGTCGAATTTTCTAGCCAACATGCGCTTTGTAGCATTTATATCTGCCATACTTTTGCTTATTATCAACATGTCATCAACATATAAACAAACAATGACTTCATGACCTGGAGTATTTTTAATGTAAACGCATTTGTCACACTCGTTGATTTTAAATCCATTTGCTAACATTGTTTGGTCAAATTTTGCATGCCATTGTTTGGGTGCTTGTTTAAGTCCATAAAGCGACTTAACAAGTTTGCACACTTTCTTTTCTTTACCAG